ATACTTCATCACACTGGAACAGTGAGGGTCACTTAGTATTAGCTGACAAGATGACAGAAGTTGCTAAACAGTAATATATTTCACCAGGAATGATGGGTGTGTGGATACGTGACTTTCAAAAACAGTCTGTATGGTTTTTTTTCTAGTAGCCACAAACTCTATACCTCTTTCTTTAATAGCGCCCTTGATCAGACACAAGCAAAGAGGCACTTTCAACCACTTATGCAGAATTAGTTAAACAGGTAGCAACCCTCAGGGATAAAAAGCAAAAGCTGGAAATAATGCAGAAGAAACTTAAAGATGGGTGTAATACGATTGAATATCACTTAACAACACTTTTCACCCCCCCCCCATCACCTACATAGCAGTACACTTTCTTAGCCTAAGTATGACAGGACACTAAAGGATTTTTACAGCTCAAATAAGTTCTCAAATGTGTGACAAGATATGAGGCGGCTAAAAATTAACATTCTGCATATAAAACCACCCATAAATGTTTCTTTTCCTCTTATACCCTACATTATTTTCCCGAAAATCATCATGCAGTACTGAAAGCTCCTATGCGTTGGTTTGTCAGTATCAACCTTAACATACAATGTGTGATGATGTAACAGGGGGAGTGCAACCAGGCATCAACTCACTTTATTAAACTTAACCCAGTGCAGATTGCTTTCAGGTTCCAAAACAATAGCTTCAGTCACTTGCAAATTAAATTTTGAAAAGGTTAATATTCTTGATTTGAGTCCAGGAAAAACAATTGACAGCAATAAATTTCTCACTGCGTAAAATAGGATGTGGTAAGTGTAACATCATTCCTTTTAACGTAATAACTATAGATCGTTTTCACTGTCACACAATAAACATGGCACAAAAAAATAAATTGGAAACCGTCCAGTGGAAGAAGCCAAGAAAATGAAACGTTACAAAATAGTGATATACATTTGTCTAAGTCTCAGGTCTATGTGGCCCACAGTTTCTGAGTTATTTGCTGAAACATTTCACGCACCATTGTAGAGCTTTGTATGGAGACGCCATATTTGTGTAAAGTTTTCTCACACAAGTATGGCCGCCAGAAATCAGCAAAAGCATCTGGTGTTCAGTTTTTCTATAAAAACTCTTTCTTTCCACTCGAGAGCTAGCATCCGTGTACATAGACACATGTTCTAATATTTAAAATGGTTTAACTGCTGAAAATCAAGAGCAGAGGCTTTTTTTTTTCAACGAGATAGCATTCCTATTTTGTCACGCAGTGTGAAAACTCGGAAGTTCAAATTGCTGTAGTTTTGAAATGAAACATGCAACAGGACTGGAAACTTGCACAAGGATTTCTTTTTCCTTTATCTTCAACCTTGTGTAGAGGAAAATTCGTAAAACCTCACTAATTTGACTTTGCAATTTGATGACTTCACCGTGAAAACTATCTATAATAATACAATTTGGATCACTAAAAACTGCATCCAACCATTAGCTGACTAAAATAACTTTAGACATATCCTGTTCAGTAGGTTATAGCTGTGTAGCCTAGTCACTAAGGTTTCTAATATCACTATTATTTCAACAGAAGTTTTGAAGCATAAACATTTCCTGGGAAAACAACATCAGCAGCTTGAGTTAAATAAGGTTGTAAGGAAAGAGAACATCATCACCATCAAGAAAGTACAAGGTAAACCCTGCAGAAATGCGACAAGTTTTACCTTCGTATCTGCACTTCTTATGAATCCTTTACATAAAATATATGTTCCATACACTAAACTACTCCTTTTATATTTCCGATTAAGCTTGACGTAGGGGTAAGATGTCCTTGTATCAGGAGAACAACACATCACTAATACACAGTTCTTTTATCTTTGAATGTGTCTTGATTCATATCACATAATTTTGTTTGAGACAAAGAGGGTATTTTTACTTAGCACAACTTTTAGGAACCAACAACAAATAACCCATCAATAATGAGTGAAAATTGTCGGCATTTTCAGCCCTGACTAGAAAACCATAACAACTTTTACTCTCATAAATATTTCTCCCTGCTAAAGGAGACACGACATTCAGTACTCTCATCCATCAATTCCAAACGTCTTTTGTCATGCATTATGCAAAGGGGGGGAAGCTGTATGGTCCAGATAAAATGGAGAAATTTTGTGATGTCCACGGTCCAGGCCTGTTTGAAAACATATTCCACGCTATCTTAAACGATCAAAAACAACTTCCCTCCACTAACAGTTGTAATCTCCAGTGTATGAGAGAAGTTGCTCTTCAGCATAACCTCAGATTTTTTAGAAATCAGGTATGGTCTTCATTTCCTAGAAAAAAACCCAATAGTAAAACTGCTGATGATAAATAAATAGAGATAGCACGAAAGAACTGTGTGCAATTTTTTTCGTTAAGTTTAGTGTTTAACCTATACGAGTCAAAAATTCCATTTGGGATTTCTAAAGACGGCATACCACTGACTGAGAAGTGTTGCGTGGATCAGATGAAAAATAATAGTGAATGCAGGGTATTGGTTGTAAGAGAAACAATCAACAAACTATTTTAAATACTGGTAACAACTTGGTTTTGTGGCTATTTACTTTTCTGAACAGAAAAGAAACCTAGGCATCAAATGGAAAACCATATGTGGTTCTTCTAATACTCACTAACTTAGCCTGTGAGAACCATAAAAGGCGAGATGATCCTTCGACTTTCAAGTACAACTATTTATCTATGTTGTTTTAAGATGTCTTTTTGTTATATGTTCATGTACTAGAAGGATGATTGATTTCAACATCAGATAAAGGCTTAGAAATCATTAAACAGAGTAGGATTGTACGTTGTAGCTTTTGAAAAGCAGTTCTACAGCGTGACTTCACATTCTCTCTGAAATTCATTTAGTATACTTGTCAATAAAAAAACATATCAATAAAAACAGATACAAGAAAAGTCAATAAAAAATACCCGCCTCTGTTTGTCACTAAGGTGATTTTTTTTAACCGACTGTTTCCACTAAAGTGGTTATAGAATTTCATAAAAATTATTAACCACTGGAAAAATCAAATTATAATTCTCCGAATTTTAGCCAAATCACATAAGTTATGTAATTATGTTCAAAGCTCTGTAGCCATCATCAAAGGACTTTGTGCCTGTATTAGTAAATCAGCCGACCACGTGTTATGTTTATTAAGCATGTACACCTGCGATCTGAGTAACACTCTTCTTTGTTAAGGATATTCTCACGTGAACGAATAATTCTACTTCACACCAAGCCCTCAACTGGAGCAAAATGAGAGATAAAAATGTAAAGCTGTAACAAAGGGAGAGGGGGTTGCTGGCATCCATGCCAAATACCTTGTCAGTGGAAGGACAAGGTCAGCTTGACAATGAGATCTCTTCTTGAGCCAGCTTGACAGTGAGATCTCTTCTGGAATATGCATTGTATACAAAGGTTTTCTACATTTGCACAATGGGCAATAACAAAGGGTAATTCTTTCTATTGCAGTACCGTAAGATAAGATAAGATAAGAACTTTATTTTCGCACGATAAAAAGATCAGCATTGCTGGTGGGGTGGTGCATACTAACAACTACAAAAAAAAAAAGAAGTATTAAAAGCAAATGTACGATTAAAAATTAAAAACTGTTAAAAATGTTTAAATAGGTTGTGAAAATGTACAATTAAAAATTAAAAGTATTGGTAACCAATATCTCTGTTTTTAGTAGTAGCTAAGATTGGTTCGAAATGCATTTTATCGGTATAAAATTTTACAAGATGCCATTTAAATTCTTTCAAGGTTTTGGCCCTTGTTTCCTTATTCGTTAAAGTGTTCCATGCGATTGCTCCTCTAACGCGTAAGGAGTTCTTGATAAAATTTGTTTCTGGTCTTAGAAGAACAATGTTCTCATTTCTTCAGTGGCCTGAATTCCTCTGTAAAAACAAATCTTTAAATTCCGTGACGGTGTAACCTTTTAAACACTTGAAGACAAACTCCGTTAGTCGCATCGCAGTTTGTACATTGTTCCAGACTATCCCATCCAGTTCGCATTAAAACATCTTCAGGGCTGGTGTCCCATGGCAGCCCATATACAATTCGTCCAGCCCTTGCATGGAGTTTCTCCAGGTTGTTTAGGTGCGTCTTTTTGCACAATCCCCACACTGTCAGACCGTATGTAACTGATGGCAATATCACTTTTGTGTAGAAATCTTCTAATTGCTTCTGAGGGAGGAATCGCATGCGTCGGAGTAGAATTAACTTGGATGCGAAGGACTTCTCTACATTTGCAGCATGATCTGATCAGGACAACTTGTTATCAACTTGTACTCCAAGGAGTCTTTCTGAGGTTGTCCACTTTATGATATTGTTGCCAAGGCGAAGAGCTTGGTTAGGCCAGTAAATGTTGATTTGAGCTGCATGATCATTGCTTTACATTTTTCTGGGTGTGATACCATCGAATTTCTGTCGCACCATTCCTGGAGTTCAGCTAGAACATTGTTTAGTGAGTTTGTTAGCAAATCCATTGTTTTTGCGATAGTATATTGTTGTGTCGTCTGCATACAGATAAGTTTCTGCAGAGCGTAGTGATTTTGGGAGGTCGTTTGAAGGAGGAGAATAACGTGGGTCCGAGGACCGACAATTGCCACACTAGGTGAACTATAATGTGTGTATCGGAGTCAGATCTGTAAGGTAGTTCCTTAACCACAGCCAGATATCTCCTCTCATTCCAAGGTCGTTCAGCTTTTGTAGCAATATATTGTGGGACACTGTGTTGAAAGCTTTAGTGAAATCCACAAACAGTATTCCCACAAAAAGTTTTCTTTCTACTGCTTCTCTCCACCTCCCAGTTAGGTGTATTAATAGCTGTTCTGTTGACTTTCCCTTCCTATAAGTCCATTGTCTGTTATCAAGTAAATTTTGTGTAACCACGTGATTAGTGATATTACTTGCGACGTAGGATTCCATTAATTTACTTGGTATACTAAGCATAGACAGTGGTCTGTAACATGTTCTACCTTCCTTTCTCCTTTTTTTATTTGAATGCTGCACTGACTCTAGCTATTTTCCACTGGTCTGGTGGCTTGCAGGCTTCAACACTCTGTTTAAACATGCTCGTGACAGACAGAGTGTTCAAGCCTGCCCGTAGTAATGAGTCATCCTCCCACCCTTCTCTACCTACGGCTTTTAGAGGACATAGTACTTCAAAGTGCATTTAACCAAATGGCCAGCACTAGTACTCACGTTCTTGAGAAATCTGAGAGTGTAGAGATTATATAGGCTCCTACTAGCTCGCCTACAGAGACACAATTTTGGATGTCAAGTTAACACTTGAGGAGTCTTTTCCTGAAATCAGTGGGTATCCAAACACCTGACTCCTTTGGTCTTTGTGAAAAGGACACATACACTGAACCAGACCTTTTTGAAAGGGAAACTTTGTTCCTTAACACTAAAGAACCTGCAGTGAACATAAGAGTATTGAAATGTATCCACTCACAAAGGCCCATCTTGCATCCTATCTAAAAATGATAAGTGATGATGATGAAAAGGAAAAAGTTTCAATGGCATCATCATCAAAGTTTAAAGCTAAAAATTCCCAAAATGACACCAAACTCCAAGTATTTATGGAACAAGTTACCCAAGCTCAAAGGGATGGCGGCTAGAAATTTATTACTACCTTCAGCAATTCCACTAAGTGGAGCAACATGCTCAAAATAGCATTTTTAACTGAAATGCTGAACTTGAAAATTTCAGGCAAAAGGCAATTTGCAACATTTAAAAGATAAACTTATTTCCTGTTACTAATGAGGCTTGGGAGGCAGAACGAATTTCTATTTTCAGTGAGTTTCAAATTGAAGACCTCTGGCTGTCTGGAGATGGTAGATGTTACAGTCCTAGACACAGTGCTTAACATAGGACGTACCCGTAATTGATCAACTTAGTAACAAGATTGTTGACTTTCAAATCGTCCAGCTTAGTGAGGTGACCAACAGCAATGCAATGAAAAGAGAGGGTTACAAAAGGTGTATTGAGATTATTCACAATAGAGGAGCCATCCTAAACTAGTTGCCACAGATATGTCCGTATATGGACAGACATGAAAAAGAATTTTCCACATGTGCAACAGCAGTTCAATGTTTGGCACGTTGCAAAAAAGCACCAGCAGAAAAGACAAAGAGGTAATTGTTAAAGGTTGGTTCTTTTCAGTTCACAATAAAAGTTATCGTTTGCTCTAAGACATGTAGTTGACTTTGTGACTGTGGGTATTGTCATGTTTGACAAAAACACTCGGAAACTGACGCGCAAACAATTAAAGCCTTAAAAGATGAGTGCTATACATACCTTTATTCTACAGTGTTCAATAAACTGCAAGACTTTAAGCCGTATTTTTTTGGGAATTTGTCATCTGGAAACACGATCTTTGCTGTGTATATGAAAGAGCTAGAATCACTTGGGCATGACTTCCAACTAAAAAACTTCCCCTGACTGACTAACTGATCGGTTTTAATGAACCCTTAAAAAAGAGGGTTCATGTTTCAGGGTTTGATATTGTCATCACCATGGTTAGAGAACAAAATTTGCTACACGTGTATACTCTAATTCTAGACACCAGGGAAACGGCAAATTTTGATTTTCCTTTCCCAGGTGCGTCAAATTATCAGGTGAAGTCCAATTTAGTACTAGGTGATGGTAAGAGCGCTTTTACGTCGACTATGGTATCAGAAGCGACTCTGTTACAAGGTAGACTTGGCGAGTGGGTGAGAGAAAGTTCTCAGAGCAATAACAAAAAATTTAATGACCGTGGCGTGCATAAGAACAAATTTTGCTCAACAGAAGCAGGACACATTAAAAGCAATGATGTACTGCACCTTGCGTATGATGATTCAGTCAGTGAAAATGACAGCATCATTGAACATGGTGTCTCCAATTCAAAAATAGATTCTAACGGAGGCTATGATAAACTCGTAAGCCCAGTCAATGGGGAAACACCTAATTTGGGCTATCAATTCCCATTTGCAGCCAGTTGTCAAGCAAAATCGAGTTTCTCGGTGTTGGGTAATAATGATACTGATATCTCGAAAAACCAAGCTGATAGCGAGGAAAATAAGGGCACTGGATATGGTAAATCGAGTTCAAATGTAGCAACTAACATGTCAAACACCTCTTACACAGTTGTAGCTTCATCTGTCACTTCTTCAGTTTCTATAGACAATGGCATTGAAAAAAAGAAAATAACAAGTCTTACCCTTACTGAGTCAGAAATGTCACCTAGCTGGCGTTGTGAATTAAGCAAAGTACGAGAATTTTATTCCCTTCAAATAAACTGCGACCGCGGGGGTAAATGCTTTGCAAAAAGTTACCATCTATGAAAAGATGGAAAGAGTAAGTGCATTGATATGGTTCTTAAAAAACGTAAAAGGCATAGAGCCCTCTTTGATCCATTGTGTAGATGCCCAGCTTGTCCAAGAGTTTGTACATCACATGATGGATAAACGAGGTACAAAGCCAACTACTTGTAGCCACTACATAACAGCCTTTCTCAATGTTAGAAGAGTACCTCTACCTGGATTCTCGAAGAGGAGATGATTTTAGCCAATCGCTACAAAAAGTTAGAGCCATGCAAAGACAACTTGAACATTTATCTAGAAAGGAACGAGTGGACGACTTGGCTAGGAAACCTCAAGAAGACTAAGTCGTTTACTCAGAATTACTCAAACTATGCAGGGAATGAAAGTGGGAGGTCTCCAAAATGAATGGTGCCTCTCAAGCAAGAACTTGCATAAATTTATGTTTGCTACTGCTGTGTCGTGCGGGAAACCCTGGGTGAGTGAAAGAATATATTACACTCCGAATCTACCAAAACCAATGTAGTGAAGAATCGAAGGATCAAAATTTGATATGTTTTAACTAGGATGTCACAGTGATTTTGTTGGAAGATTCTTATAGGACCAGATCTACTTATGGGCCCAGTCGTACAGATCTCACTCCACTGGACCTTTTAACACACTTTTCGAAACTATACTATTCTTAAATGAGGCCTTGTTTGCTCAATGGAAAAGGACACGATCGATTATTTATTTTTTTGCCAATGCATTTTCTCAAGCATCTTACAGCAATTACATGTCAGCCTTGTTTGAGAAACACTTCTCTCATAGATTAACCACAGCTGATCTGAGAAAAACAGTTATGGCTCATTCTTTGTCGTTGCCCCAAAGTAGTGATTATTCTCTGTGAGAATCATTTGCAACACTTGGGCTTGATTTCCACATAAAAACAGCCCCTGACTCACTAACTGAATAAACCCTTAAAAAGAGGGTTCATGTTTAGGGTTTGACATTGTCATCACCATGGTTAGAGAACAAAATTTGCTACACATGTATAGTCTAATTCTAGACACCAGGGAAACGGCAAATTTTGATTTTCCTTTCCCACGTGCGCCAAGTTATAGGGCATGGCGTCTCCAATTCAAAAATAGATTCTAATGGAAGCTATGATAAAATCGTAAGCCCAGTCAAAGGGGAAACATCTAATTCGGGCTATCAATTCCCATTTGCAGCCAGTTGTCAAGCGAAATCGAGTTTCTTGGTATTGGGTAATAATGATACTGATATCTCGAAAAACCAAGCTACAATCTTCATGTGGCTGATGCTGGAAGGCAGGTTCAAAAATTCCCCAGCACTGCGCCTGTACTTGGCACATGGATTTGACATTTTTGGGATGTATGGAACAGCAGTAATGATGTCGCTGTGTAATGTCAGAGAGCAAAGTGTGAACAGGAGCTTGAAACAACTGGTGAACAGATTGGAAAGCACATTCCTTATTCGTTGCTTGAAGCAAAACCAGGCACAACCATCTGTTGAAGATTCAAACAGCCAGGAGGGTCCCAGTGCGACAGTGCAGGAGCAACCTTAATTGAAATGGTATGTATTAAGTCATGTTCAATTGCCATTTAAGGTACATATGACCAGTGTGTAATATTACCCTATGAATCTTTAATCTCTAATGCTTAATTTTGAAATTTTCTGTTTGTTTGATAACAACTAACAATTATTTTGTCTATGACTATATTTTTTAAACATTTCCAGGATGAGGGACCCGCCAGCCAAGCATCCAAATGTCTGCAGGTGGAGCAAGAGTCTGATGAGAGGCGCTTACCAAGGATATTCTCTTCTATTATTGGTGGCCACACGCCTGATGACTTGGAGCAGTACCTCTCCCAACTCGAGTTCAGGTCCTTTGAAGATAATTTCAGATTCCTATAATAACAATCTGTGATAAAATATCAAATTGATGTGAGTCAGCAAGACATGGCTAATTGCATAGAATCAATGGAACAACATCATTTGAGACAAGACCAGTACCATTCGTTACGTCAAAAGCTGCAAACTGCTAAACAGCTGGAGTATTTGAGCAATGTCAGAGATGAGCATGTCTTGAACACAGCAAAGTGGCTGGTTGACAATAGCATGGTCTCTATGAAATTGGCTGCTCTGAGGGAGGTTATTCCTGTAGGATGGGCAGTTTGTCGTTACCCTGTATTAGTCCAGGTAAATTTATGATGAGCTTCCGCAAAGTTAGTCATACCAGCAGCTACTGATCTTTTTGATGAAAAGATTAAGGCAAATGAACGTCTACCTCAAAATGTCACTGGAGCCCAGAGATCATGATTAGAGGCACCCTGCCTGAGAATGTCCATCGACTTTCCACAAGGGGAACCCGGTGATGGTGATGGATTGAGTGAACTGGGAGTAACCAACCTCCATGGGCTTTTTATTGGGGATGCTGCAGTTCCGAACACATCCAAAACATTGTCTTTTAGGCACATGTATCCCAGTAAGTTTGCAGTATTTGAAGGTAGACCAGTTTCAATTATTGAAAGGAGAAGCAGGCTAGACAGGCTTTGACACCCAAGAGGCCCCAAGAGCCCAGGCAGGAGAGACTGCTAACCAACCTTACTGGAGAGAAAGAAGGGAGTTTCTAAATAAGAGCTAAATGGCCTGAGAGGACAGATATCCATCAATAGAGCTAGAATCCTTGGTGACTGTTATGGAGTTGACCTCCATGGACGAATGTTGTTGGACATCCGAGGTGTCTACAACCAGTCTGACAGAGTACAAGCTCCAACAGGCCTTCCAAGATGCAACACGCCAATGCAAGGGTGGCTTTTGCGGGGACGTGGAATTTATTCATCCATGCATGTGCAGAAGAGCACTCCACAAGCTTGAGGTTCAAGTCACACGGTGAAGATGACACAGATATGCAGAGTAAATGCATACTGCACTTAGAATAACAGACATGTATGTGACTTTTATCCTGTTGTTCATCTGTTATACAGCAGAAACACAACATTTCCAGTTGAATAAATTAAAATTATTGTCCATGACATATCTAATGGGGAAGAGAGTAAACATTGCCTGGAGACCAGGAATTCAAAGGTTTAGCAATGACAACACGAAGACTGCCTGGAAACCTTGACAAGGTTTGGCAGATGAATTGCAGCATTGTTGCCAGCAATAATTTCCCTGGAGACCTAGAATGGAAGGTTTGGCAATGTTGGATTCCCTGCATGTTCAACAATTTTAACTCTGCCGAGATGTACATAAAAGTGCATTTTGCCGGTCCCAAGCCCGGACAAAAGAGGAGGGTCTAAAAATGTGAACATTTGTTGCCAATGACGTATCTTGACACACTCTGTCTTAAAATTCGGAGAGGTTCTCCTTCACTGCACCTCTACTGGTACATTACCATAGCTGCAATACCTATTGCAG